AAAAAAAAAAAAAAAAAACATGCCCCAAACAAGAGAGTCTATTTCACAGAAGACTCTGAGGGACAAGGAAGCCTGGCAGACAGTGGGCATGGGGCTCCTGTTGAAAGAGCCATTGGCAGAGAGTTCAGTTAAGCAACGGACAAAGCCATGGACACGGCTCCCACCTCCATTTTAAAACAACAAACAACAACAACAAAAAACTATGTCTCAATGCTTGGGACTGTGAATTCTGCAATTTTCTAAAAGGTCTATTGTTAATGTGGACATATTTTTTTCTGACCCAGTTCTCCTAGTCTAGATGCACCTTTTAGGGAAAAAGGTGAGTGGAGAATCAAGAGCAATAGAAAGAAACATTTCCAGAAAAAGGACATATTTGTGCGTGGTTTACCGCTTAGGTACAGAGAAAGAATAACACTTTACTAATTTAAACTCATGTCAGAGAGAGTGACAATTGTAGAAGGGAACCTGTACACTGCGGGCCAGACTCAAGCAAATGGTGGCTCCTTTAGCTCATTCAAAATATCCCTGTATCACTTCCAGCAGTCATGATGGTTGAATTGTGCAGTCACACTAGAAAAATATGGTTCTCAAATTTCCTTTTCTCTCCCTCAACTTCATTTTTGCTTGCTCTTCATCCCAGATACAGATAGAGCTCTGTCCTCCCTAAACCACTGATACCAACTCATGAATATTCTTGCTATTCATTCTTGCTAGTAATTAAGGCAGCCTGATCTTTCTCCATTACAAATCAGATCATGCCTCCAACTCACTCAAATCTTCCTGGTTCCTGCTTTCAGGAGCCATCCCTAACTCCTGAATCCAGCTGCTGTCCCAGTCATTCCCATCTCCCAGGTCCTCATACATAGTAACCTGGGTTTTCTTTTTAATTTTTTGATTGTGGGAAGTTATATATATATATATATATATATATATATATTAGTATATAACACAGGCTTAGGGACATGCCACTAAGCACTGAAAACTAGTGCTCAAGCTTCTACTCCTGCGATCATAGCAACAGCAGTGGAAAGAGCTCAAGTGTCCATCAGTCGAGAACGGTGTGATCTCAACCATGCTCAGTGACCACTTAAGTGGTATTTAGTGTATTCACCATGTTGTGAAATCCTCACCACTATCAATTTCCAAAACCTTTTCATCATCCCCAAAAGAAACTCTACACCCATTAAGCAATCCCTCCCCAGTACCCGTTCCCCTCAATCCCTATAACCTCTTGCCTACTTTCAGTCTCCAAGAAAGTGCCTATTCTAGATCTTTCCAATCAGTGTAATTATATAACTGTGGTTGATTTATTTCCCTTAACATATGCTTTCAAGATTTACCCACACTGTGTTGTATGTCCAAAATCCATTCATTTTGGTGGCTATATACTGTTCCAGCAAGTGCGCAGACCATGCTTCTCCATTCATCCACTGCAGGGCACTGGGACTGTCCCCATTGTTTGGCTGCTGTGAATACTCCTGCCATGAATATAGGCCACCCAGCTGGTGCCACAGACAACTGCTTATGGTATAAAGCCAGCCCCCAGAAGTGAAGTGCGCTGTGTGAGTGAAGGAGACTCCCAAGGAAGAACTATATGGTAAGGGGTGCTGAGGTTTTCCCACAACAGAGGAAAAGTCTGCAATCTTTTCCATTTTACCTGGAAAATACATAACTCCTTTATAATATTCCATTCAAGTTATGAGGTCATTTCTGACCAGGCCAAAGGATTTCTGGTGTCCCCTTCTCAGTGCTACCTGGCATTTGTCATGTTGAATTGGTTACTAGTTGAGGGTAGAAAATCCAAGAATGTAGCGTGCCTATTTCCCTAGGAGCTCTCAGTGGCAGGTAGGAGGTGGGAGACCCCTATAGGGCCTTATCACTCCAGACAAGGGGGGTGGGGGGAAGCTGTATACAATGTGTGTCTGTTCATCAACCCTATCAAATCCCTTCTGCAAACTGCAAAGTTCTTTCTGTTTTTTTCTCCCCAAAGGATTGCCCCTTTCTAGAGACTATATAACCTCACTGGAATGAGAAGACTCCAGGTTTCATTGGGTCCGTTATTGGATGTCTAGCCCTCCATGCACAGGTGAATAAGTTTGACTTTTCTCTGCTATTCTCTGGTGTCAATTTATTATTTTCCAGCCTAGGGACCTAGCAGGGTAAAGGAAGATTAGTTTCTTCCTTGTTTGTTTCTCTTGCTTCACTTTTCAGGTAGTGTGTGATAGCCACAATAAAGAATTTACTATGACATCTGGTATAAATGTCAGCTCTTGTCATTAGCTACTATAATATGAGCTAAATTGATGTTTTTGACTGGATAGAGTAAAATTACAATGCTTCCTGGGCCTACAAAAACAAATTCAATTAATTCTACCATCTTTCAGAGGTCACTGGATAAGCCATGGAGTAGCTTGGATTCTTGGCTTCCTTCCTGAAGCAGAGGGGCATTTCCTTCCAACAACGTCATGAATTGCCCAGTGTCTGGAGAGCTAAGTGGGGGATGATACCGCCCCCCACCCCTTCTCCTCCATCAGCCCTGGGCTGTTCTTTGCCCAAATGGGGAGGGCTGGTTTGGAAGAAAGGCTTTTAAATGGCAGCCTTACAATGAGGCCCTAGGGCTGACCTGAAACCAGACTCAGAAGAGAGCAAAGCCTCTGGTTCTGGGGTTTTGTAACCCTCGCTGTCCTCCAGGAATTCATGCAGAGGTGACTACCCAGCTAAGCCACTGAGGCAACTGCTCTTCACAAAGCACTAGTGTGAGACGGAAAACGAGGGCCCTGGCTCCAGGGTCTGTGTTGCACTGACCCTCAGATTCTTTAAGCACACACAAGAAAGAGTATTTGAGAGAATTAGGGAAAATAACTAGGAGAAATAAGTGCTTTCAAGCTGCAAGAAGCTTATGCTTCAACAGCTGTTCTCATGATTAAGCACTCCGACTCGGTGTGTTTTGGGGGGGCTCGTCTCCGCAACTCCCAAGCCTCCCCAAGTTCCCAAGAGACGGTTCCTAAAAATGAGGTGTAAACACCAATTCTTCAAGCTCCCGCCTCCGTTAGATGGAGCTGAACAAGTTGGCTGGTGCGCAGGCACCCCTTAGAGGTCGGATACCACACCTCCAAGGGCAAAATCTCCCCACACCGCCCCCCCCCACACACACACATTGGGGATTGGGGGATCGGGTCCGGACGCAAAGGCCCAGCCTCCCTGGGCACCCCCGGGTCTGCTCTTGGGAAGAGAGGGTTCTTTTTCCTTGTCCGCCCTGCTTCCAGGATCTTTATAAGGGCGAGGAAGGACCTGGGAGTGGACCTGCCCACCCCGCGGGGCCCAACGTTACCTGTCGCGTAGGTGGCCGCTGCGCAGCCCCATGGCGGTACATTCGGCTGCGCTCACCGGCACCCCTTTGCAGGACTTGACCGGGTAAATCCAGAGCTGCGCTACGGTGCCCACCTGCTGCCTTCGCCGGCGCCCTCCCGGCCGAACGCGGCGCCAAGCGACAGTCCCCAGCGCCGCGGCC